GAAAACTTGAAAATCTTGAAAATTCACGATCCAAAAATGCGTTTCAAAATACATTATTTCCAAAACTTGAAATCCATGTTTTTTTCATATCCATGCATCTTGATGTTGAAATGATCAATTTGAGGATATTTGGGCATCAAAATAACTTCTTCTAGTGAAATTTTAGAGGTAGGTTCAAATGTGATTGTTTAGAGCCTCCGCTCTATATAAACTTTTCCCTATAAAAATTGGAAAAGTATAGAATGAGACAATTTACCTTTGGTACAAGGTGAGACATTAATCTTGATCATTGGATGTGAAATTAGGTAACTGCAATTATTCCATTGGACAAGCTCAAACTTCAAAAGAAATTTTCTCTAACTTTGTGACATATCCAAACTATCAAACTTCACACCGAATGGTTGTAAGTAATTGTGACCACCTTGTCTCAAAGGTAAATGGTCTCATTGTATACAATCCCACAAAAATTATGTCCTTTGTCAAAATCTATATAAGAGATCAACTATTAATATTTTTGTTTTAATATAATCTAAAATATCTACACCTAAATCATGTCATAGAATAGTTGAAAAAAGATAAAATGTTAAATTATTGAAAAATTATGTGTATTTTGCTACAATTTCCTTTGAATAAGAGATGCTTTTATGTAAATCTAGAAAAGCCAAAATATCCTTACATTTAAGGGGAACGGTTTGTATAAGGCCAATGCTTTAAACAATCAAAGTAAAGCACACATTTAAATAGTATTGAGAAATGTGATTTCAATACTGAAAATCTATGTGATAACCTTAAAATATATTTTCATCTCTAATTATAAAATTTAAAGCTTCCAAAATAGCGTAGATCAAGTCGATCTATGAAAACTTGAAAATTGACAGTCTAAAAATGCATTACAAGATGCACTATTTCTAAAACAATCCATTTTTTTTCTTTTGTTCATGCATCTTGATGTACAAATGATCAATTTGAGGATACATGGGAATCATAACAACCTCTTCTAGTGAAATTTTTGAGGTATGCTCTAATTTGATTATTGAGAGCCTCGGCTCTATATAGACATTTTCCTTAGATAAAATTTCATTTGAATCATATATGTTTTGGGAAAGCTTTCTATGTTCTCCCTACAACATAGAAGTTCTATGTTCCCTCTACCATTCAGCCGTCCATTTTTTATCAAGAGAGTCACTAACAGTTTGATCTTAGATCCGAAGTCTCAAAGTATTTTATTTTTGGTTTTTTTTTAATACAATTTTTTTTAATATGAAATTTGGTACGTGCCATCTTCTCGTTGGGACGTACCTATAAAAAATATTAACAATAATTTCTCGATAAAAAATAATGATCAAAATACCCTTTAAAACTTTCAGGGGTAATTTGATTATTTTATTTTATTGAAAATATTTTTTTATATTTTGTAGTTAGTGCGAGTTTAATATAGGAATGGACGTCCAAAATTTGATGTCAAAACAGTTTATAGAAAAAAAATTAAAAATAAAACAGAATAAAGACATAATATTGTGATTGGAACAATCTTAACCCTCCATTAAAAAATGGATGGTTGGTTGGACAAGGGGAGCACCGAACTTCTATGTTTTTCTGTAAATATGAAAACGCCAAAAGTACACTTAACATTTCAGTGTTTCAATATTATGTCACATCCCATCTGACTTTACCAACCAAACCACTTGTGGGGAGAATGGCGGATGAAGAGCAACACCTTCTTAAGTGCCAATCCTACCAAATCCCCGCTCCTCACTCCTCAACCTCGCTGGCCAATTCAGGCAGCCGGAAAACCTCCAACAACTTATTTTCTGGTTTTCAGGCGTGGTTTTCCGATCACTGGCAGAAATTAAGTGATCCAAAGATGGCGGGAGGAGTCTTTGCAGTGGAAGCAAGCCCGACGGCTGCGGGATCCGGTGGGAAGATAACGGTGGCGGTGTTTTTTACGTGCCTCATGGCGGCAACTGGAGGTCTGATCTTCGGCTATGACATCGGAATTTCAGGTTTGGAAGTACTCTCTCTCTCTCTCTCTCTCTCTCTCTCTCTCTCTCTCTCTCGTCGTCGTTCGTCGTCGTTCGTCGTTCGTCGTACGTCGTTCGTTACGTCGTTACGTTCGTTACGT